TTTATAGCCCCGCAGCTGCCAAGCTCCAACTGATCGGAAGAGGAAAGGGCTAAACCAATTCACATACTCACACAAAACCCTGTCAGAAGGAGCTTCACTATGAAGCCAAGAGAATTCCTGCCAGCCTGGAATTCTACTGTAGTCCTTTCTCCACACACAATCCCACAAGTAGCCATCCTGTGTGGTAGTTACTATTTCCAGGCTCAGAAAGATGATTACCCAAGGCCACATCATAAAATAACTCATAGCAGTTCTATTTGTAACAGCTCAAAGGTGGAAACAACTCAAATGTCCTTCAGTGGATGGTTAAATATACCATGGTACATCTATACCATGGATTACTACTCAGCAATAAAAAGGACAAACTATTGACACAAGCAACCACTTGGGTGAATCTCCAGGGAATTGTGCCAAGTGGAAAGAGCCAAGCCCAAATGATTACACACTATATGATTCCAAGTATGTAACATTTTTTAAATAACAGAATTATAGGCATGGAGAATAGATCAGTGGTTGCCTGTGGTTAGGGATAGGGGAAGGGAAGATGAATGGAGGCAATTCTAAAGAGACAGCACGAGGGATTTTTGTGGTGATCAGACAGTTCTAGCTATTGTGGTAGTAGTTGCATGAATCCACACAAGATAAAATTGCACAGACCTACACACACACATACACACACAAATGCATGTATGTAAAACTGGGAAAATGTGAATAAAGTCTGTGGATTGTACCAATGTCAATTTCCTGGTTTTGATATTGTACTATAGCTATGCAAGATGTTACCATTAGGGAAAACTGAGTGAAGGGTACATGAAACTTCTCTGAACTATTTTTGCAACCTTCTATGAATCTATAATTATTTCCAAATAAAAAACTTATTATTTTTTTGAGATGGAGTCTCACACTGTCACCCGGGCTGGAGTGTAGTGGCGTGATCTCAGCTCACTGCAACCTCTGCCTCCCAGGTTCAAGCGAGTCTCCTGCCTCAGCCTCCAAAGTAGCTAGGATTACAGGAACCCACCACCACGCACAGCTAATTTTTTGTATTTTTAGTAGAGATGGGATTTCACTATATTGGCCAGGCTGGTCTCAAACTCCTGACTTCGTGATCCACCTGCCTTGGCCTCCCAAAGTGCTGGGATTACAGGCGTGAACCACTGTGCTTGGCCAATAAAAAGCTTTTTAAAAGACGTATTCTCCAGTTTGACGGCTCTGATAAAGAAGAAAATAAGTATCCAAGCTTCTTTTCCACAACCCTCAACAACAAAGTGCCATCAAAAGGCCTGAGGTCTCTGAAAGAGTCTGGGACTCATATGAGAGCTCTGCCTTCCCAGGGATAGTCTGCAATCCACATTTGTCCTCTTTCCTTTAACCAACACTGAGGTTGGCTAGGAGTCAGGTCTTGTATTGGAAGCTAAGTGATATGAGATGAATGAGTTATGATCCCTTCCCAAGTGAACACCCAATCTAGGGATAAAAAGGCATAATAAGATAAGAATTTGGGCTAAAAGTCAAAAGATTTCTGTCCTCATGGAATCACTTACTAGTTTTCTTATTTTGGACCAATCCGTCTTCTGGCATCCTGGCCTCTCAATCTGCAAAATTCAAAAGAATGAAATATAAATGTATATTTTAAACTTAATCTGGGACCCCTGGGAGGGTTCAAGGATATATGTAACTCACATGAAAGTAGATAACTGCATTCCTTTTTGGAGAAGAGGCATTACATTTTTTTTTTTTTTTTTTGAGACGGAGTCTCGCTCTGTCACCCAGGCTGGAGTGCAGTGGCCCGCTCTCTGCTCACTGCAAGCTCCGCCTCCCGGGTTCGCGCAATTCTCCTGCCTCAGCCTCCCGAGCAGCTGGGACTACAGGCGCCCGCCACCTCGCCCGGCTTATTTTTTTGTATTTTTAGTAGAGACGGGGTTTCACCATGTTAGCCAGGATGGTCTCGATCTCCTGACCTCGTGATCCGCCCGTCTCGGCCTCCCAAAGTGCTGGGATTACAGGCTTGAGCCACCGCGCCCGGCCCGGCATTACATTTTTTTTTTCAGACTCTGGGAATCTGAATGTTTTAACTTTTATCATGGACATTTTCAAGCATATACAAAAGTAGAGTGTACATATTGCCAATCTTTCAAGTGATCCGCCCACCTCAGCCTTCCAAAGTGCTGAGATTACAGGCATGAGCCACCAAGCCTGGCTAATTTTTGTATTTTTAGTAGAGACGGGGTTTCATCATGTTGCCCAGGCTGGTCTTGAACTCCTGAGCTCAGGTGATCCGCCTGCCTAGGCCTCCCAAAGTGCTGGGATTACAGCCATGAGCCACTGCACCTGGCCAACTACTGAGCCAATCTTGTTTCATTTATTCCCTCCACACTATTTATTATTTACTGCTGAATCACTTCAAAGCAGGCTTACCGGCCCATAAAGGGCTGGATTTTAAAATTCAATTTCTAAGGCCCCTTCCAGTCTAACATTCAATGATTCGAATAGATCTCTCAGGTCCTTCCTTCCATCTCTAATAATTCACGATTTCAATAGGGATGGAAGAAATAAACTAGAGATCTAACATAACATTTCATGATATTCCAGGTGCCACAAAAGTTCATTCCCTTTCATGAGAAGAACTAAATTTTAAACATGGAATTCTAGGACATTTATGATTTAACCTCCAGCAGTGTTCTAACCTCTCTCACCCCTTCTCCAGATCCCAACCACCTTCCCATGTAGCCTGCAGTTTCTACAGTTTTGCTCCTACTCACTATGTGCCTTTGTACAGGCAGTACCTTCTACCTGGAATGTCCCTGAGCCCCACCCATTTTCCTCTTGCGTCTCAGCTTGAAGTCCCCTCCCCAGTGAAGACTTCTAGCACCTCTTGCCTCCACAGAAGGGTTCAGTGTGCTCCTTTAGCCCTGGAAGCTGAGTACCTGTTGCCACACAGGGAATAGCACTGTTGGTCACTCTGGGCAGCAAACCCAACTACCAAGGGGCCAGACAGAAGTCAAGGTTTGAAGCCAGTAGGCATAACAAACACTAGGGCCCTGCTTTCTCACCTCTGAATAGAAAATAGAGAAAAATATCAGCTCTAAATAAAGCAACAACCTGAGAGCAACAGTAAATGCAAACAACATTCTATTTCAGAGAACCACAGCGAATGGTGGAGATTGAGACCAAATGGGACAGAGTATCTTGTCTAAAGGAAGTCGTCTCTACTCAGTGTCAGTTGATTGTTGACTGGCAGGAATTTGGGTCCAGTGTGGCCAGCTCTTCCATTTTTTCAGGAAAAACCAGAAATCCAGATTTGCATGTGAAATCTCCCAATTTTTATATGTCAGCAACTAAAAAGCATTAAAGGCCCATTGCAATGACTTTCAAGGTTTTCAGGCTATGGAAATGATTTCATGAGGGTCCACTTCTACCTATCCAAAGGAAACATCCTATGGTAGGGACAAGTTTTATATCAGGGCTAACGGCGTGTTAATGGTTGTTAAACACGCTCCTCCATCCTGCACAGAGCTCAAAAGGACTACAAGTGTCATACAAAACCTTTCATATGAGGCCCCTGTCCTTTCAGGGCCTCAGTTTCCCCTTCTGTAAAATGAGGATACAAACCCTATTTGTGGCCAGGCGCGGTGGCTCACGCCTGTAATCCCAGCACTTTGGGAGGCTGAGGCGGGTGAATCACCTGAGGTCAAGAGTTTGAGACCAGCCTGGCCAACATGGTGAACCCCCATCTCTACCAAAAATACAAAATATTAGCCGGGTGTGGTGGTGGGCGCCTGTAATCCCAGCTACTCGGGAGGCTGAGGCAGGAGAATCACTTCAACCCGGAAGGTGGAGGGCTCAGTCTCAAAATAAAAGAAAAAAGCAACAACAACTATTTGTGAGTCAGCTATCAGACAGAAAACCACCTGGCCGAGGGCTGTCAGGGCCACATGCTTTTACCTGCATCATCTCACTGAATTCTCAATGACCTCTGAGAGGTAAGTTCTATTACATCCACATTTTACTGTTAAGAAAACGGTAGCTCAGAGATAGCAAGCAGTTTACCTAATAAAAACAAAAGCAAACTTCTTAAAAGCCCTTTCTCTCCAAGGGCTTAACTTATTTAATCCTCCCAGCAACTCTGAGGTGGGTACCATCAAAGGGGATTCCACCAAGGCAAAAGGCAGCCTCACTCCAATCCTCTAACCCAAGGCTGCTCAACAGAAATATAACGTAAACCGCACATGCAATTTAAATGTTTTTTAGTAGCTGCATTTAAAAAGTAAAAACACAGGTGAAATTAATAACATTTTATTTGACCCAGTATATGCAAAACATATTACAACATGTAATCAGTATTAAAACGTATTGAGATATTTTACATTAGTTTTTTCGTATTAAGTCCCGTATTTTACAATATAGCACATCTCAATTCGCTGTATTTCGAGGGTTATCAACTAGCTCCGCTGCAAGAGCTCAGTCAACTCAGGCGGCCAGCGGCCACCATAAAGGGCAATGCATTTACAATTCACTTATTAAATCCTAAAGTTAACAGAACCTACAGAGCCTCCCCTCCCTTGGTTTCGGAGGACACGCGAAAAATAACAATAGCAAAGAGTTCTCGAGCATTTCCTTCGCGCCAGACGGTGTGCTGCAGCTTGTCATCCTCGCAGTAAGGCGGGTGCTATCGACCTCCTAGTTTGACCAAGCGAGAGGACTTTCTCCAGCCGGGCCCTTCCCGAGAGAACGACCGCCGTCCCGCTCCCCTGTTCGGGTCACAGGCCGGGCGCCACCCGGACAAGCCCCGGCCAGCTGTCACCCTAATCATTCCTGAAGGAGGAGCCGTCACAGTTACAGCCCATCAGGGTCAATCAGGAGGGGCGCCCGCACGGAAAGGTCACCTGCAAACCGAAGCGGCTCAAGAATAAGTTCCAGGACTTAAAGTTTACCTCGAAACATTCAGGCTCCTCCTCCGACTCCTCCTCGAACTTGCGCTCAGAGGCGCCACCATTCGGAAGGAGCCCAAGCCACGCGCCGCTCGCCCTGCTGCACCGCGAGGGCAGCAGCCGCCTCATGCGACTCGAGAACGCTAGAGGGCGCCGCTTCCGAGAGCCCGCAAGCGGCTTCCGGGGCTCGCGCGCCGACCTGGACGCAGAGAAGCCAGAGACTTTTCGTTTCCGGCTGCCGCAGGCCCTTCGCTGGTGCAGGTAAGCTCCGCGCACTCTCGGCCGGTCCCGAGTCCGCCTCCCTCAAGGGTGGCGCGAGCTCTGCCCTTTAACCGGAAACGTCTCCCTGCTCACCCCGCCCGCGCGCAGACGCAGTGCTGAGCCCACAGCTACCGGACAAAGAGTGACGCCCGGAGCTGGAGTTATGGCGGCGACGGAGCCGATCTTGGGGGCCACTGGGAGTCCCGCGGCGGTGCCACCGGAGAAACCGGAAGGAGCAGGTTCGAGCTCAGACCCTGAGCTTAAATCTGTGGGCTCCTCGCTGCCGAAGGTCTCACCGCCTGCCCCGGAGCCCTCCAGCCCCAACGCCGCGGTCCCCGAAGCCATCCCTACGCCCCGGGCTGCGGCCTCCGCGGCCCGGGAGTTGCCCCTCGGGCCAGCACCCGTGAGCATCGCGCCTCAGGCTGAAGCCGAAACGCGCTCCCCACCAGGCCCAGCCGGTTCTAGACTCGGCCCCGAGACGTTCCGCCAGCGTTTCCGGCAGTTCCGCTACCAGGACGCGGCGGGTCCCCGGGAGGCTTTCCGGCAGCTGCGGGAGCTGTCCCGCCAGTGGCTACGGCCTGACATCCGCACCAAGGAGCAGATCGTGGAGATGCTGGTGCAAGAGCAGCTGCTCGCCATCCTGCCCGAGGCGGCTCGGGCCCGGCGGGTCCGTCGCCGCACGGATGTGCGCATCACTGGTTGAGCGGTGGAACTGCGGGCGGCCAGGGCCGGGCGCTCTGTGTAGACTGGGGCCATGATCGGGTCCGGGGGCCTGAGCCTAGGAGCCCACTCCATGTTAATGAAAAATGAGTTTTGGCAGCGCCTGTGGTCTGGTGTGTCTCTTTCATTCGTTCTTTATTGGGTTTATTTTACCAAGCCTGTTTACCACCGCCTTTCTGGCTGGTGCCGAAACGAAGTTGGGAGTCCCTAACAATAAGGCCTTCGTTGGCTATAGTGGGATCTTTCGATGTTGTCTGAAATTGGGTTATCCCCTCTACCACATATGGGAAGTTTTTCACCTGGGCTCCCAAGGACCCAGTTGGGTTTCTTACACGCAAAATACCTGGCTTTATTAAATGCTTACTTGACTGGCTACCTCTATACCAATATGAGCACCAACTTGCACCTGCCCTTTGGGTACAGGCTTCCCAAAATGTCCAAGTTACTGAGCCATTTTAATGTGAAGTGTTTACTGCAAACCTTCACAGAGATAGGCTAGTTCCTGTGAGCTCTGGCTTATGCCGCCAGGCTTGCTCAACTTCCTTGCCAAATTTTAGGCCTGTGGTAGGAATTAAGCAGAACTAGTTGAAATAATGGATTATTTACATTACGGAAGCTACTCATTTTAATACTGGCCCCCTTTTGGTTAAACTAGCATAATTGTTTACAAAGGAAAGAAAGAATTTGGCAAATAATGAGGACCTGTTCTGAAATCTTAAACCTACTGTTTACAGAGTTCTGCCCAACCAGGAAGGAGCATAGTTGGGGTCCATGGACAGCTTGGATTGGTCCCAGATGGGTCCTATTGCAGTGAGTGCCATTTGTTAATATAAGGAAGGCCAGACTTGTCTTCCTTGCACTGCTCTCAACAATCAAAATCAGCCTGCAGTTTACACCAGAAAGCATGAGTGAGACTGGGCTGGGAAGTTGGTGAGGGGCATTTTGCTTTTGAATATTAAAGACAAATTGAGAAGTATCTTTGCATTCTTGGGATTTCTTGGCAGAGTTTGCACCTGCCTCCCTGGAAAAAGATAGTTGTTTAGAAGGTAAGAACAGGCTTCTTTAAAAGGTAATGTTTCAAGAAGATTAAGGATAGGTGAAGGACAAGTGCAGTGACTCACGCCTGTAATCCCAGCACTGTGGAAGGCAGAGGCGGTGGATCACTTGAGGTCAGGAGTTCGAGACCAGCTTGACCAACAGTGAAACCCCCATCTCTACTAAAAATACAAAATTATCTGGGTGTAGTGGCACATGCCTGTAATCCCAGCACTTTGGGAGGCCGAGGTGGGTGGATCACTTGAGGTCAGGAGCTTGAGACCAGCCTGACAACATGGTGAAACTCCCATCTCTACTAAAAATACAAAATTAGCCGAGCATGATGGTGCACGCCTATAATCCCAGCTACTTGGGAGGCTGGGGCAGAATCGCTTGAAACCGGGAGGCGGAGGTTGCAGTGAGCGGTGATCGTGCCATTGCACTCCAGCCTGGGCAACAAGAGTGAAACTCCATCTCAAAAAAAAAAAAAAAAAAAAAAAGGTGAACTTTATACAGTCATGCGTCCCTTAATGGGGATACGTTCTGAAAGATGAGCCCTTAGGCAGTTTTACTGTGTGAGCCTCATAGAGTGCACTTATGTAAACTAGATGGTATAACCTATACACACCTAGGCATTGTGATAGAGCCTGCTGCTCCTAGGCTACAAGCCTGTACAGCATGTGACTGTACTGAATACTATAGGCAGTTGTAACAATGGTATTTGTGTATCTACATAGAAAAGTTTCAGTAAAAATATATAATAGGCTGGGCGTGGTGGCTCGCACCTGTAATCCCAGCACTTTGGGAGACCGAGGTGAGCGGATCACAAGGTCAGGAGTTTGAGACCAGCGTGGCCATCATGGTGAAACCATGTCCCTACTAAAAATACAAGAATTAGCTGGGCATGGTTGCGGGCACCTGTAATTCTAGCTACTCGGGAGGCTGAGGCAGGAGAATTGTTTGAACCTGGGAGGCGAAGGTTGCAGTGAACTGAGATCCCGCCATTGCACACCAGTCTAGGCAACAAGTGAGGCTCCGTCTCAAAAAAAAAAAAAAAATATATATATATATATATGTATGTAGAGATTGCGTGACTGGACGTTGTTCTGGCTGGGTAAGTGATGAGTGAATGTGAAGATCTAGGACGTTACTGTACGCTACTCCAGAATTTATATAAACACCGAACACATTGACTAAATTTTTTTTTTTGAGACAGGATCTCACTTTGTTGCCCAGGCTGGAGTACAGAGGCACAATCTAGGTTCACTGTAACTTCTGGCTCCCAGGCCCAGGTGATCCTCCTGCCTCAGCCTCCCAAGTACCTAGGAATACAGGCACCTGCCACCATGCCCAGCTAATTTTTGTAGAGATGGGGTTTCACCATGTTGCCCAGGCTGGTCACTACTAAACTGATTTTTTTAAACTTACTTTCTTCAATAATAAATTAGCCTTAGTTCATGATAACTTTTTTTGTTTTTCGTTTTGTTGAGACAGAGTTTCACTCTGTTGCCCAGGCTGGAGTGCAGTGGTAGGATCTCGGCTCACTGCAACCCCCTCCTCCCGGGTTCAAGCAATTCTCCTACCTCAGCCCCCGAGTAGCTGGGACTACAGGCATGCGCCACCATGCTAATTTTTGTATTCTTAGTAGAGATGGGGTTTTGCCATGTTGGCCAGGCCAGTCTTGAACTCCTGACCGCAGGCGATCTGGCCACCTTGGCCTCCCAAAGTGCTGGGGTTACAGGCATGAGTGACAGCACCCAGCCTTTTATTTAGAGACAGGGTCTCCAGCCTCAGCCTCCCTAAGTGGTAGGATTATAGATCTGAGGCACCCTGCCTGACCAACTTTTTTACTTTGTAAGCTTTTAAATTTTAACTTTGACTTCTGTAATAACACTTTGTGTTTACACACATGGTACAACTATACAAATATATTTTCTTTATATCCTTATTCTATGAGTTTTCTTCTAGTTTAATTTTTTTATATATATTTTACTTTTTAGATTTTTGTTAAACACTAAGACAAATCCACACATTAGCCGAGGCCTATGCAGTACGACCATCAGGACATCACTAAGTGATAGGAATTTTTCAGCTCCATTATAATCTGATGGGACCACCCCATGTATGGGGTCCATGGTTGACAGAAACATTATGCGATGCATGACTGTAACTCAACAATATGTAACTGAAACATAGCAACAAGAACCTGTTTTATTTTTTCCAAATACAGATACAGAAGTTTGCGTGTTTTGCAAATATTGCTTCAAAGCAACATTTCTATATACAGCGCCTTCTGTTCTAATAGCGCGTAAACATAGGTATGTACCCACAGTGCAATGTTGGCTCATCAAGGATCCACCTTGCATACACTTACCACTTAAAGAAACAAAATGATTAGTCAAAGCGGAACTATTTTTGTCAAGGTAATTTTTTATAGGTGGATAGTTTTTCTCAAAAGACAAAACTTAGGTAGTGCACATACTTCTTTTTTTTTTCTTTTTTTTTTTTTTTTTTTGAGACGGAGTCTTGTAGTTGTCACCCGGGCTGGAGTGCAAAGGCACGATCTCGGCGGCTCACTGCAACCTCTGCCTCCCAGGTTCCAGCAGTTCTCCTGCTTCAGCCTCCCGAGTAGCTGAGATTACAGGCGCCCGCCACTACGCCCGGTTAATTTTTGTATTTTTAGTAAAGAAGGGGTTTCACCCTGTTGGCTAGGCTGGTCTCAAACTCCTGACCTCAGGTGATCCACCCGCCTCAGCCTCCCAAAGTGCTGGGATTACAGGCGTGAGCCACCGCACCCGGCTGGTAGTGCACATATTTCTAAATGGTAACAGCAATGTTTGCAAATAACAGTTTCCAGTGCTCCAACTTAGGGTTAATTCACCTTCACCCAGGAATTGGGAATGGAGCCCCTCAACATGGCTTTAAATTAGGGAAGCACACTGAGGTTACAAGAACTTGGGGAATCTTCTCTGCTTCCCTAAGAACAAAAGTCACAATGAATGAAATGGGATTACTTCCTTTACCAAAAACTTAAATAATAAACCCAATAATGGCCAGTCGGCAAAATTAGGGCAATTCAGTTTCTGCTTCCATTGTTGAACAAGACAGGAAATTGACTACCTTAAAAGTTACAGCTTCCACAGATGTGATTAAAACTCAAATGTATTTTCAGAAAAGAAATATCAGTAATCTAATAATACAACAATCATCACACCTCACAGTTGTGGCTACAGAAAGCCATCCTGTTTCTTCCCTTTTCAGACTGCATAACAGAACTCTTACAGTGCAGCTGTCTGAACATACATGCCATGCACGCCTGTGCATTTCTTCCCACGCCAGAAATACCAACGTTAGCAGTGAGAAACAGCCTCTTGTAGAGGAATCGTCAGTTATAGATGTTATAGCCACATGTATTCTCTCTGATGGATCGGCTATAGCAGATCAGTTTATACTTGTCCTATAATTCATTATATATCAAATGGTGAGCAAATCACTAGACAGAACATTCCCTGAAATAGATTTTAGTACAGAGGCCTGAATTCATGTCCACAATGACCTGTGCTTAACTATTCCAAAGGTCGCTAAAGATACTGTTACTACTACTGAGATATTACTGGCTACTTCACGTTTACATAGTAAATGTTTGCAGCATATAACATTACAGACTCATAAACCCATAATTAACTTATAAGAGTTAATGGACAACTGTGCTTTGATTTTTGCCTTTAGTGATAAGAAAACGAAGTAGTGAAATGGGTCACTCCTCAAAGCATGGAACATTTTAACTTTGCCTAGTAAGGAAAAACAAAACAAAATATAGCAATTACATGTGGAACCGTAACCTGCAAAAGTAACACAAATACTGTCTCAAAAGGTACAAACAGGTTGTACCTGGACCTTAAGCAGCATAATCACCTTGATCTCACAAAATAATACAAACAGGAAATTTAAAATGTTGAAGTATAGTAACAAAACAATTCTGAAAACGCTGACTACTGAACATACCCTTCAGGAAGGAGAAAAGCGGCACATGTATAATTTGAAGTTTGTTTACAACAATATAAAATAA